GAAGTCATGTGACCGTGCTGTAGTTCCTTTATAGCCCAACATTAGCCTCCTTTAGCTTAGCGGTGGTGACGTGAAGTCATGTGACCGTGCTGTAGTTCCTTTATAGCCCAACATTAGCCATCTTTAGCTTAGCGGTGGTGACGTGAAGTCATGTGACCGTGCTGTAGTTCCTTATACCGGATGATCCATCTTTTACAAATACCACAACAGCTTGAAAACCTTCTTTAATCTGAGACCCAACTAAAAATAAGATGCTTTCAAAAGTCTTAAACAGATACTTAAGATGCATTGTCTAAAAACAAGACCCTACAGTGTATCTACCTGCGTTGTTACTTCTTAAGTTATAATGTCTTATATCAAGTGTTAAGACATATCCTGACTAGATATTAGGCAAATATACTTGGCTAGTTTTTACGGTGGATGTGTTGTTTGTGATTTATTTCCTCACCTGCAGGATTGTAGGTGATTCTGTATCCCTGAACTGGAGCTTGAACTGGGTCCCAGGCCACTCTGAACCTGGTGTACCACTCATCAGAGACCCTGAGGTTCCTCGGGCTCAACATCCCCACTGAGAGAGAGAAGTAAACATGTAAACAACAGAATATGTCATTTGTCACCTTTTCTTATCTCGTCATATTCCTCTTCTGTGTTTACGTGTGAAAAACAAGTTAAAACATTAGGTTTGTTGCCAGGATATTAAAAAAATAAGTAAATTCTACAACAGTCAGAATGACGAAACTCCTGTGTTTGTTTTACTTGAGGCTGGGGAACCCTGTTAGACTTTAGTTCATGGTTAAAGCTAATGTTTTTCTTAACATATTTTTACCAGAATAGCTATTTTCTTTATTTTAGGATTTAAAAAAACCATCAAAACCCATTTTAGGCAACTTAAATTGATTAGTATATGCCACCTTGCATTTGTAGGTTTAAACTTCATGCATTACGTTTCTGTGCATTAAAAGATAACCTCACGACCTAATGGAGTGTTTCTCTTTGTACCCGCATACACAGAAAGTAAAGAATCATTTGAGATGCCTGAAATAATAAAAATCTGAAACGACTAAAAACAGGTTAAAAAAATATAAGGTTTGTCATAAAAACGAGGATTCTGTGTAATAAATGTGCAGCAGACTCACATGTTCGTCCGTTTCCATTCAGAGACCCCCCAGGACCCTCTCCGTAAATGGCCTGAACCGTGATGTTGTACGGGGTGTCAGCGAGGAGGTTCTGCAGCTGGGCGTTGTTTCTGTTTCCAGGGACCGTCGTCTATGAGAAAAAAACAGAACATTTAAGCGATAAATCCTTCAAAGACTAATTAACAGGGAGGTTGTTTCAGGAAAGACTGATCATGTCTGCCTTTATTTCTCTTCTTTGCAGACGACAGAGAGCTGCAGGAATGAGTCCTAAAACCCAGAAAAACTAGTCAGCATTTCAGCACTTCCTGTCCTGTGTGTTTTTTGTTAGATGCCAGAAATAAGGTATTTAAAAACAATGGTTGCTAAAAAGTATCCAAATGAGCCCAACGTTAGCCACCTTTAGCTTAGCGGTGGTGACGTGAAGTCATGTGACCGTGCTGTAGTTCCTTTATAGCCCAACATTAGCCACCTTTAGCTTAGTGGTGGTGATGTGAAGTCATGTGACCATGATGTAGTTCCTTTATTGCCCAACATTAGCCCCCTTTAGCTTAGCGGTGGTGACGTGAAGTCATGTGACCGTGCTGTAGTTCCTTTATAGCCCAACATTAGCCTCCTTTAGCTTAGCGGTGGTGACGTGAAGTCATGTGACCGTGCTGTAGTTCCTTTATAGCCCAACATTAGCCACCTTTAGCTTAGCGGTGGTGACGTGAAGTCATGTGACCGTGCTGTAGTTCCTTTATAGCCCAACATTAGCCACCTTTAGCTTAGCGGTGGTGACGTGAAGTCATGTGACCGTGCTGTAGTTCCTTTATCGCCCAACTTGAGCTTTTTAGAGCTTACTTTCTAAGATAAATCTAATTGTGATTCATAAATGCCTCGCAAACACAGCTTTCATCAATAACTGAAAGAAACGGTCTGAACCTGGTTTTGATAAAGAGTCTAAGAAGTTGCGAGTGTGATGAAATTGTGACTTTTCTCACAGTTTCACTTTCCAAGTTTCAAAATCTGGTTTCCATGTCTTTTATCAGAGTAATCTCTATCAAACTGGAAGAAATCATGTCGTGTCCTGAAGCAGAAAATTGCAGTAGAGTTGGCTTGAAGAAGCTGTGAACAAACACAAAGCTCCTCTATTAGCCGCAGATGCTAAATCATAATAGTTGCATGCTTTTTTAAATGTCTAAAGGCTCTTCGGTCAGTTTCAGTTTGGAGCAATGCTTTCATCGCTGCAGTTTTCTGACTCATGGAGAAACAGGTGCTATGCTAACAAGAGGAGTAGGGGGGGGGACACACAGCTGGACCTCCATTGCCCTCTAACTCGTTATTAAGGACTATTAATGACAGCATTATGGCCCCAATTGTGGTGTTTGTTTAACAGGGCCTGTAATTAGTCTCACTAATCGCTGATTTATAACCCAGAAGAGCCAAAGTTATCCTGAGAGGTGACTTCATCGAATAGTTTGCACGAAGTGTCATCGTAAAGAGTGTATTAAGAGTTTATCCAAAGCATTTATCCAGAATAAAAATGATCTGAAATTATTTTTCTCATTAGTGCTAAAAAGAAAGGGAATCTAATGGATGAAATTAAACTTTCATCCTGATGCATTCTTTCTTTGTGTCCTAAAATAAGTCTGACTCCTGAGTACGTCATTTCTCACATAAAAAATTAAACGACCCGTTTCACCTGGAGTAAATCCACAAGCTACCCTGCAGTATACAAAGTCATTCAGACTAGCTGCACCTTTACCAGCTTTGAGAACACTTTCATGATCAATCATTATAAAACATATCATATCTATTATTCTGAAATGGACCAATCTGCACAACGACTACTTTTACTCTCTCTACTTTCACTATATTTTGATGAGAATACTTTTATACTTTTACTTGAGGAACATTTTGAATGCAGGACTTTTACTGTAACAGAGCATTCCTACACTCTGGTACTTCTACTTTTACTCAAGTACAAGATCTGAGTACTTCTACTTTTACTCAAGAACAAGATCTGAGTACTTCTACTTTTACTCAAGAACAAGATCTGAGTACTTCTACTTTTACTCAAGCACAAGATCTACTTCTCCAACCTCTGCCGTGCTGTAGTTCCTTTATATTCCAACATTAGCCACCTTTAGCTTAGCGGTGGTGACGAGAAGTCATGTGACAATTTTGGTTACACAGACAATTGCTATTTGAGATTTTCTGAAGTGTACTCACAAACTCGGTGATGGGGTCTCCGGTCAGCGGGGCGTAGAAGATCTTGTACTGCCTGACGGGACCCTCAGCGTGATCCCATCCGATGGTCAGAGTGCTGGTGGTGGCGTCATAAACTCGCATGTTCCTGGGACCGCCTCGAGGCACTGCAGCAGCAATAATCATAATACACTTTATTTGTATATATATATATATTTCATGCACAAAGCAGCCCAAAGTGCTGCAGGTTTTTATAGAAATGGATCAGGACAAAAAGTGAGAGAATCTTTTTTTCCTGAAACTTTCAGAATCTCTTTA